AGCCCGATTCCACTCTGCATGAGAGAGGCCGGGAGTAGAGCCTGCGAGGGAAGTCTCTGCCCACCCAGCACAGGGGCGAGGGCACTGGAGCCTGCGGTGCTCGTTGTTTGTTTGGCAGAGACGCTGGCTCCCTAGGCGCCCAGGAGAACCAGCCGCGTCCCCGGCCTTCAGGAGGACTCACACATTTCAGACGGAAATGACCACTTCCAGTGCAACAAGGTAAACAGACACTCAGAGAAACAGGAAAGGGATCCTTTATTTCCAACAGGAAGAACTGAGTAAATCCTTTACTTTCACCGCAGGAGATCAAACCCTGGGCCTCCAGGAACCAAGCACGTGCCCTGCACTCGCCCCACCACCGAGTCGCACCAACTGCAGAACACTGGGTCGCGCTGGGCCCGGCTCTCCACACGGAGCCTTGGGCTTGGCCCCCAAGCTCAGGCTGAACTCTGCCTTGGCTTTGAGACAGGATCTTGCCGTGAAGCCCAGGCTGGCCTCAAACTCACAGCTACCCCGCCTCAGCCTCCCAAGTGCTGTGACCACAGCTGGCTGGTGTTTCCCTGGCTCCAGTGGGAGGCGGCTGCTCGTCCCTGCTCCCCCCATGGCCCCTCCAGGGCTCCAGCTTCTGCTGGGGTCAGCTCCGCTCCGCCCCTCAGAAGACCCAGCAACGTCCTGGACCGACCCACAGCAGTCAGGCAGGACACGAGGCTGCCACTGTCCCACACGGAGCTGTCCGGAAGGGGCCGTGTGGGGGCGGCCTGTGCACCACAACCGCTCCCCCCACAAATCGCTCCCCAGTTCTGTGTGTTCAGTGGCAGTGGCGGCAGCAGCCTCCCTGCCCAGTTAACTCAAGTGGCTTCTTCCAGATCGGTGGCTCTAATTACGCCCCATGGCGCTCCCAGAGGCTGCGCAGAGCAGGGGATGTGCAAGGTGACCTCCCCCGCCACCCTTGTTCATGTGGCCTGGTGCTGGGAGACAGGACGTGGCCGCTGGCTACAGCTCCCTTCCGGTCACCTGCTGGGAGCCTCTGAGTCACAGCCAGCCATGTGTGGAGCTGTGACAGCATGGGAGAAAGAAGACAGTGACCCTGCCATCACCGGACGACGGGCTGAGTCACACAGGCCGAGTCACACAGGCCGAGTCCGGAAGGTCCCTGCCGGGGACTCTGCTCCATCCCCAAACACCCGGGCATGGCTGGTTCAGCACCTTCCTCACCACCTGATCAGCCTGAGGGACAACAGTTAGGCCCTGTGGGTCCACGAGCACCCCGCTTCCTCTGCAAGGGGACAAAGGTTCTCAGGGCAGGGGACCTGGCGCAGAAAGGGGCCCAGGCAGGCTAGCGTCCTGCCTTCTGGGCCCTGCCCCAGCCCACAACAGCAGGCAGGACGAGCTTCCAAGATGCAGGCCTCACTCTCAAGTCCCCAACACTTGTTCAGCCCGTCTGCTCTGCAGAGCTGGTTTCTTCTCCCACGCCCATTTGGCACCGTTTTGGGGCTTGGTTTATCCAATTCTTTGTTCAAAACAAGGACCTGGACTACTTTTGACCGGCAAGAATCCAGCCTGTAACAGAGGTGACACTTGTCCTCTCCCAGACCCGGGGCACCCAACGCTTCCTTCTTCCCCCTCCTGTCAGATCAGGAGTAAAGCTCTTTCCCTGCCCCCCATGGTCCAAGCCAAGAGCCCCCACAAAGGCCAGCCGGCTCAGAGAAAGTGAGCCACGGAGAGGGCAGAGGGGCCCAGGGGCCAAGAAGAAACGTAGAACAGAGCGGCGCTGCCTCTGCCTCTGGCTTTGGGGCGTCTCCGTCACCGGGGTAGCACCTGGAGCTGGCGTGCTCACGCCTGTCATCAAAGCACTCAGGCTGAGATAAGAGGATGGCCACGAGTTCAGGGCCAGCCTGGGCTGCATGGTGAGTTCAAAGACGGGCTGAACTACACAGCAAGACGCTGTCTCACAAATTTAAAAAAAAAAAAAAGTCCAATCATGCCATCAAAACAAATCTGTAGTGAAACTTGCACAGCGCCGCTCACTCAGCAGGCACGGCTGGGCCTCGGCGTCTGTGCAGCCCAGGCTCCGAGCACTGAGTCACGGCGTGGGCCTCACCTCCCGGCCTCCGGTGTGGGGGAAACAGTCTGGCAGTGAGCAGATGCTGCTGGAGTGCAGGGCGGTGCCGCAGCCACACAGAGTCATTCACAGAAAGACACGAAACACCACAGGCATGGCGGGGCACAGCTGGAACCACAGCAGTCAGGAGGCTGAGGCAGGAGAGCCCACACCAAAAACCAAAGCCAGAAACAAAGATTTAAACTTCTGTCCCTCTGCCCCACTAGCCATGTTCCAGTCTAGGACTGGATTAAGTCACAAGTTGAGCAGTCATCTGGTGCTTTCTGAGCACTTTCTTCACAGGTGTGTGCAGCGACTGCCCAAACCAGAGCTCTAGCAGGGGCAGCTTCTCTTCACCTTGGCGACTCTACACTGCAGTTCAGAACCAACCCACTGCATCCCTGTGGTGCCACGGCGCCCCCTTGTGGTAAGACATCGGGACCATGCAGTCACGGTCCCTGCAGCCCTGCCGAAATCCATGCTGCAAATCAGAGCCAGGCCACATGGATGGCAGCCTGTGGTGAGAGTGGAGGGAGTACGATCTGTCCAGCAAGTCGTCCGCACACCCAGGACACGGCAGGTCCCTGGGCCTGAGTTCCAGGTGCCCTGCCCGCTCCCTAGTCAAAGGCCCTCTCTCGCCTCACACCAGCCCCCCAACCCCCACCCAACCCCGCACCTGAGGCTCCCCCTGCACAGCGCTTCTGCGAAGGCCACAGGTGGGATCTGTCCGTTAGGAGAGGAGAGCCCAGAACCACATGAAAACAGCCCGAAGCCAGAGCCCACTCCAGACAGGTGCTTTTCTGTTAAATCCCCAAGAAGACCGTGGACTCAGCCACCGACCCCAGCACTGAGCCCACCAGGCCCCTCTCGGTCACTGCCCACTGCTCTGGTATGGCCTCTTCTTGCCTAGTTCTGGCCATTCCTGCTTGTCCTCTCTCCTGCTTTTTCTGTGGTGCTCAAAACCCTGGCTTGACTTTGACCCTTTCCCTTCCAGAGGTCCTGGGGTTCGGACAGAAAAATATTTAGAAGGTCGGGCCGCTACAGGGCAGAACAGCTCCCCAATTAAGGGCAGATGACATTCAGACATCAACCCGGTGATCTAGCACTCTCTGCTAGGAAAATAATGGCCTCGAAAGTCATCATGAATCCAACAGGTGAACCTCAATTCAGAGACAAGGACTCTGCCCCGCTGCCTGGTGGCGGTCACCTGTGTGCCGTGGTTTATCCAGCCTGCCACCGTCCACAGCCTCACGTGTTCTGTTCCACAAGAACTGGCAAAGCTCTCCCTGCTTTCTCTAGAACAAACAGGTGCAAGGCCTTCATGACGTCGGTGAGATGACAGGGGTGCTCGGAGGCAGGCACCCGGGCTGGGGCCGACGACCAGTCCATACTCCCTCAGTCCTGCTTGGCCACGTCTGGCTCCCACAGCACCTGACAGACCTCAGGTGGGGAACAGGAAGAACTAAGTGGTCAGAATCTTAGGTCCGAATTCTGACTCTGACTCAGCCTGTAGCTTTTTACAAAGAAATCCCTTCGCAAGGACAACGGGTCCCCTCCTGTCCAGGACACCCTGTTGTCCAGGCAGCAGATGGGGCTGGTCGCTGAAAGTTTAGGACCTCAGAGTTATCTGCGTTTTGCCCTAGAAGAACCAGGAAGCTCTTGGAAAGGAAGCGGGCAGGACACTGCTACCCAGGGATGTTGGCCTCCACGAACTATAAAAACCAACCCACATGGACGGAACTTGGGGACATCCAGACGGCTCTGCCACTGTCAGAGTCCACCACTTGCCCCACCTGTGTCGTTCTTTCTCACCTGCAGCCCCACACCAGCATGGACCTGAAACTCCCAGTGAAAAGATCTCACATACCTGTCAGTCCACGGATCAGACTGGCACGGGGCATGCACCTGCCCTGTCCCAAAAGGGTAGCCGGGGACCACAGAGCCTGCCAGCCAGGTCTGCCGTCCACCAGACACCAGCTGGATGCCGTCCCAGTCTGCTCTGTGGGGAGGCTGCCTTGTCTGGCTATGACCTCACACATCACCTGCCACGTGGGGCTGCCAGTTGTTAGCTGTCAGACAGAGACAGCCCCATCTCACAGACGCGAAGACTCAAAGAACACCTGCAGAAGACCGCACAGCCAAACATCTTCAGCCTCCTCTTCACCGCAGGAAAGGGAAAACAAAGCCTTACTCCAAAGGTGTCTAGAGTTAGGGTTCCGGCAGCAGCCCGGCAGGGGCAGACCCTACCGTCCCACAAACTCCACGTGCATGATCTCTCACGGAACAGAATACGGGAGGCTACGGATGGTGGCAGGCTGGATAAACCACAGTACGCAGGTGACCGCCACCAGGCAGCGGGGCAAGGACGAGGACATAGCCGTGTGGGCACAGTTACTCCGTGAAAAACAGCGTGGAGGGGCGGGTGGGCAGTGGCGGCCTGAGCCTGTTTGTAGCGAAAGCTGGCTGTGTGTGACAAGACAGAGCCACAGAAGAGGGCAGGAAGGACAACACCCCCCAGAGGAGCCGGGCACTGGGTGCAGCCCTGTTCTGCTTTGTAGACCTGTTTGTTTGATGAACAACAGCAAATTCCAAACTTAGGATTCTGGAGACTGATTTTCTGAAAGGAAAGGAAGAGTTCAGAGACACCCGGAGGGGAAAGTCAACCCCTTTGCACAGGGCCAGTGTGCAAAGAGGTGGCCCCGTCACGGAGCCCTCTCTGTACACCTCGGCCGCCACGCAAAACTGAGCTGCTCCCCTCAGAGCCTTTAGAAGCCACAGCCAGCCAATGGCACGGCTCCCAGACCACGTCACAAGGACAGAAATGAAGGCTTTTATAATTACAGTTCTTCAGCAGCACACACATGAAACAGAGACCTGGACAAAACACATGACTAAGCTGCATGGTTTTGCTGTACTTTATTCCAAGTGGGCCCTCAGGCCTCATCCCCGGGGAGAGAGCGCCTGGCGTCCAACTGGGAACACCGTTCAGTACTGAAAAGTAATCTTCCACTCTGCTCCGACCCGAATTTGGCACAATTACATCACGCGCGAGTCAAGACGCGGACAGCCCGGTGGGGTGACGGGATCCAGAAGGGCATGGCGCGCCAGCCGAGCGCGGTCCTCCGCTGCCGAGTCACACACAGAACACAGCTTTACACGGGCAGTTTATTCCCTCCTGCGGGTGCGGACAGTGCTCAGGTCGCACGGAGGAGCATTCGGAAGCACAGGCCTGAAGAGCAGCACAGCTACATCACAGTGCAGGAACTACGGAGGCTACGGCTACGCGTGCAGAGCGGATGGTGAAGGGCCCCCGCGTCGGTCTGCAGGGCTGGGCACCACAGCAGCGGTGCAGCGAGTGCAGACCACAGGACCAAGGGACAAGGCTGCTCTGCAAATAAACTACTCTGTTCATAAATAAACTCTGATTTTTTTAGTTCACATTTACAGACCTGATCAATAAAAAGAAACAATATATATATATATATTTTCCCTTAAAAAAGAAAATGTGGAGACACAGAGCACTATGAAAGAACTCACCAGGGCAGGGGAGGAGCAGGCAAAGGAGAGAGAATTAAAGTACCCCGTATGCAGCCTAGCACACACCGACACGCGACAGGCTGTCCGGGAGCAGCGTGCTCTACTTGAATTCCAGCAGGTTGCAATCGATCTTGTAGTACACATAGGGGTAGTACTCCTGCTGGCTCAGGTTGAGGCCGGGAATGTCCACCGGCGCCTGTGGAGCAAGCATAAGCACGGACAGGGATGTACCACGGGACTGGGGACAGAGCGCGGCCCTTGTCTTCCCTGGGAACCCGCCAGGGGCGACACACGGGCACTGCTACTGAGTGAGGTGGGCACAGGGCCCTCTGCCTGCCAGGAGGAAAAGGCCGGCTTCCCTGGGCACCCTGACCAACAAAGTCTCACCGAGCTGCCTCCAAAGCCTGTGTGCATGGGACCAGACCCCGCTGTCCCAGGATGCGGACCACAGAACCTTCCTTTCTAAATCTTAGGCTTACAGTACAGTGGACCCTTGACTTACAAATTCAATTCCTTCCCGAGGGCTGGCTGTCAAGTTTGTCGGTGCAGGCTCAGGCTCCTCTCCACAGCCCTCAGAGTCTCTCTCCTGCACAAAGGCAGATCTGTGTCCTGAGAGACACTGCCCTAGGATTTCTCAGGGAGCCCCACACAGGAGAGGATGCTGTTGTGCTCCTTCCAGAACTCTGTAAGGGTTAAGTCTGTATCCAAGACCATCTGGAGGCACAAGTGGCTGGCATTCAGATGGTAACTCAAGACTTTGGTCCAATCATAAGCCACGTTATGACACAAAAATAATCCAGTGCACTGTTTAAAAGATAGCTCTTCTATATGCAAGTTGTAATAAGGCACATGTATCAAACAGCTAGATTCATTTTATCTGCATTTCCTTTGTTTTCTTCTATCAAAAAGGAAAACTTTTTAAAATTCTAATTAATGCACATATGAGGTTCTAATGTCTGAAAGAAAGGGAAAAAATCAGCAAGATGTGGAAATTCGAAAAATAAAAGCCCATAAGGTTACATCCTGTTTATATCTTTTGGCGGGGGGTGGGGTGGGGGGCTGGTTACTGCGGATCAAACTCAAGTTTGTGCTTGCTACATCCTGTTTATATCTTTTGGCGGGGGGTGGGGTGGGGGGCTGGTTACTGCGGATCAAACTCAAGTCCTTGTGCTTGCCAGGCAGGCAGCATGTTTATATCTTATTTAAAAGAAACCATTTTATGGAAATGACTGTTCCCTTTAAAATGCTGGTGTGCGACTGTTGCTTCTGAACAAAGCGTCAGCTCAGTTACCCTCTGCAGCTTCCAGGTCCCGCAGCACTGACCAGCGCCCCAGCCTCGGCAGCTGCAGACGCGTGGTGGACAGTGAGGGCTCGCGGGGGTACGGGTAGGGGTAGGGGTGGGGGTCCGGTCCCGAGACCCCAGGAAGCGCCAGCCGCCTCCCCGCAACTTCCTCATCCGGGCCCACCGCGTCCGCGCCTGCGCACTCACATCGATGATGGCGGCCGCGCTGCTGTCCAGGTGCTTGTACAGCTCGTGCAGCACCTCCCGCAGCTTCTTCATGGTTTTCTTGTTGGGCTGCAGCAGCATCGCCTGGAAGTTCACGGGCAGGCCATACCTGTGTGGGGGACAGAGCGCAAAGTCAGCGCGGGCGCGAGGAGAATGAGGGAAGACTGGCGCTGACCAGAAGCCGCTATAAAATGCCTCGCGTCCCCACCAGTCTAGGGCTCAGAGCACTCTCCGGAAGTAGGGAGCGTGTAAGGCCAGTGGGTTCTTCTGCAATAAACCACCTGGGGCTACATCTACTTTGAAAAATTTAATCAGTGTAAACAGTGAGCCTGGCTACAGATCAGTTACTTCTCAGAACTATTCTCTAACAGGACGAAGGGACAGAGGACTTCAGGGTGAGGCCTTAAGCATCTCAGGATGCTCAGTATCTCCAGTGAGTGCCAGATGGTGTCAGTCGGGGTCAACTGCTTGCCGGACACCCACGGCCCTGCCTTCCGAACAAACTCAAGGCTGGGCTGTGCCATCTCCACTTGGTGACCGTGCACACCCGACCAACCCCAGGAGATCTTCACGGGGCAGAAGAGCTCCACGTACCTAGGGAGGCCACAGCCATGGTGATGCACTCCCCACGCAGCATGGTGATGCTGGGCACATACACGAGCGACTCCCCGGGCTTGGTATTCACTCCCTGGTCTGTCACTGCTTTAGAACGGACACCTTCTAATTACAGCTTTGGACAAAGTCCCCGTATGTGACACAGGAATCTCACATTTCCACCGAGTCTCTAGACAGTGTCCCGTGCGCCAGCCAGGGGCTGAGGGACGTGGCTCAAAATCTCCAGTTCCCTAATCTTACTCAGAAGGAGCCATGAGGACAGCAGCACCGGTTCTGCCCCGCGTGCCAGGACGTGGCAAAACTGCCCGGAGAAGCTGTGACACTGCCGTCTCCATACCAGCTCCCTCCCGCGGGAAAGGGGGACAGACACATCTCGCCTCACCTTAGAACAGACTCCACAAAAACTCTTAACGCTTTCACGTGAATCCACGCAATAAATGCTTCACTGAAATTCACTTTCAGCCACCGCACAAGTGGTCCCTTTAAAAAAAAAAAAAAAGATTACCATGAATCTGGTCTTGGAAATGGCAAAAAGCTCAAATCTTTTCTGAGCAACTAGCTGCTGGTAACCTACAGGCGAATGAACGCACACAGTTCCCTTCCCGAAGCTTCGTGTATTGTTGCTGTTACGATGGATGCTGGGCCATCTTAGCTCAGGGCCTCCCTCAGGTCACCCACTCGCGACACTAGAATGAATTAAACCAACTCACTAACACAGAGAAAGGTATTTTTACAAAAGTAGTTTAAACCGATGAAAAGTGGTTTAAGCAGGTGTCCTGGGTCTGAAAACCAAAATATAAAAATCTGAATGTGCTATACTCTAAAGTACTTAATATGCATGTATAAAATTCAACTCAAAAATAACTTCTCAGGAACACAGATAAAACAGTTATGAAAGTGAGCCAGTCACTGCCCCCAACTCTTAGTGTTCTCCTCTGTAAGACAGGGAGATCTGGGGCTCTGAAACCTCTTCACGGCCTACCCTTGCAATGATTCTGTTACACAGCCTGGCTGGCTGGCTATTGGCAGTACTGGGATTGAACCCAGGGCCTTCACTGAGCTGCATCCCAGCCTTTTCCATTTTTTATTTTGAGACAGGGCCTAAGTTGCCAAGTTGCCCGGACTGGGCTCAAACTTGCGATCCTCCTGCCTCAGCCTCCCAGAGTGTGCTACGACGCCTGCTTTACAGTATTTAGTATGATTAAATGTCTCTTTTTAAAAAAAAAGACTAAATAATCTCTTCCCTTACACTTCAAAGAAATGTACTATCAATCCAGCTAACATTTGGATAACATTATGAGGCTTTACTATGATGTACCAATTTAAGCAAAAGTGATAATAAAACAGAGAAAAAATATTTGGTCAAAGTCTCTCTGAACAGGTTCTATACCCTCCCTCACAAGGTGGTTACAGCCCTGGTTAGGTCCCACCCCCCGGAGACGTGGACGCAGTCTGTGAAATTCCTGGGTGTTTCTCGGAGCTCACCTGTCCCTCTCCCCTCGAGCTTCCCTGCCACACAAGCGAATGCCTCCTCAGCGCCCTCACTGAGGATGCAGGCACCCACTCTTCACCGGGGTAAATGCGAATCAGTTCACTAAAGGCTGAGTGTTCTTACGGGAGAGCAGAGCCTCACCCACAGACAGCCTTCCCCACAGCGACACCCAGCGGGCACTGCCTTCAAACACAGACGGGGGCTAGTACAAAGGGTGACTCCCTGAGCTAGGCCTGTCCAGAGCAAACACACTCTGATTACTCAGCACAAAAGGACACCAAATATCTTAAAGTGAAATCGGACAGCTCTAGTCTCAGGCAGGGGAAGCAGTGTCCCTGTCTGGGCTCAGCGCAGTGGCAGGAGGATCGGGAGAACCGGAACACGTACGAACTGCTTCTTCTTGTCAGTAGAGAGCCGGTTCATTTCCTCCTTGTCCGCCTTCATCTCCTCCTCGTTATACTGGAAGTCTCGAACAATGAATCTGAATTTGGGGGAGAAAACAGATCGGTCCATACCACAGACACCCACTCCAGCAAGAGAGACAGAAGAGCGGCAGAGGGAACTTACTTGTTCTCCCTGGCTTTGTGTCGGAAGTCGTCGACAGCCTTCCTGAACAGGGTGACATTGCAGAGGTAGCTGTCTTGGTCCTCCGAGAGAACGCTAGGACAAAAGAGAAGCTCACTTAATGGCTCAGCCTCAGCGCCGTCCTCCTACTGAGGTGGAATTGCAGAGGGAGGAAGCTCAGGGGACCACGGCCTTCCAAGCCACCAGCACCTCTGCTGCAACATGCGGCCACGCAGGGTTTACTGCCAGAGCGAGGCTTTGGTGCCGATGCCTCTGCACCCTGTATCGCCCAACTTCTTAGGAGCCAACAGTTGACCACCAACCGGGACAGAGCATCGGAAGCCGGGTACAGGCTTCTAGGGCACCGGGCCGCACCCTGCGCTCCCACACCAGCCACTCCCTCTCCTGCTCACCCCCGACCTCGCAGCCCACACTGGGCCCGGTGACCGGTGCTGCCCACACAGCTCAGGCTCCCTCCTGACCCAGGACAGTCATAGCAGCCGCTCTGGAACATCCCTGGAAGCCTTCAGAATGCAACCACAGACAGCCGCGTGCACGGTCCTCAAACCGGCCCTGACGGCCCTGTCCCAGAGACCCACCAGCTCCTCAGGACAGCACCCCTGCAGGGACTGCACAGGCGCCTGGGAGCAGGTACCCAGGCCCTCTCCTCCCCTCCCCGTCTTCCACGTTCTGGGGGTTTCTAAGTCTGTGGCTTTCAGCAAACCCCTCTCCTGAGGTATAATCACCAGACAGCACCGCGTGGGCTGAGTGGACACCACCACGTCCGAAGTGACACCAGCACTGTTGTATCCTACACCCACTGCTCACAAGCATCACGGCTCCCTGTGGGGTGTTTTGTTTTTGTTTTGGTTTTTGGTTTTGTTTTTTTTTGGTTTTTTGAGACAAGGTCTCACTATGTAGTTGAGACTGACCTGGAACTCACTATGTAGCCCAGGCTTGGTCTCGAACTCACAGCAATCCTCCTGCCTCAGCCTCCCGAGTGCTGGGATTACAGGTGTGCGCCACCATGCCCAGCTTCCCTGTAGTTCTGTTAACATTTAGTTCTCATTTACAGTGAAGCACCCCCAAAATAAAGTAAATTTCATAGAACTGAAGGAGTGCCTATGGGCTTTAAAGATAACTTTGGTTTGAGGGTTTTCTTGGGGGAGGAGCAAGATCTCACACGTCTGTAGCCCAGGCTGGCTTTGGACTTATGGCAATTCGCCTGCCTCTGCCTCCTGAGTGCCACAATCCCCTCAAACTGCACAATGCATGCTGCTGTGAAGCCATTTCAAAGCACTCGATGCTTGGCATGGCCAGCACATCATTCAGTGAGCCAAAAAGCCTGATGATCAAAGACGCCAAGTGAGCCAGGTTTAGTGGTGCACACCTGCAGTCCCAGCTACTCAGAAAGCCGAAGCAGGAAGACTGCAAGTTTGAGGCCCGCTGTGGCAATTTAGTGAGATCCTGTCTCAAGATGGAAAAGGAGGCCCAGAGGTAGAGCCCAGGGCTATGAGTGAGGCTCTGGATCCAATACCTAGTACTGCCCCAAAAAGCCAAGACAAAACGCAGATCTTCTCTTATGATTAGATCCTGCTATATCCATCACCTTATCAAAAGCAACTCGGGAGGTGAGGCAGGAGGCTCGTCATGAGTTCAAGGACAGCCTCTACTACACAGCCAGTCCCTGTCTTGAAAACAGCAAACAGGGACCCCTGAAGGGCACCTGGCTTGCCTTCTCTGTCCCAGGAGAAGTACTGCGAGCTCAGGAACACAGCTATGCGCCCACTGCCTTGGAGCCATTTGGTGCACACTGAGCGTGGTCAGCAATGCCACCCCTGCCCACCCAGCGCCATCGGGGAGCAGCCAGTGCTGTGAGCAGGAGGAGTGTGAGACACAGGGGGGGACACTCCCAGAGGAACAGGCACGCTGGGGCAGATGGCAGCCAGCAGGAAATCGAGGAGGAGAGCAAGTCCCCGCCAGTGTGGAGTGACAAGGTCAAAAGCAGTTCCGTAAGAATGCAGACGACAGGGGGCGCCTGGGAAAGATGCAGGGGACAGGTGCGGTGGCCCTGCCTGTGGCCCAGCCCTCAGGAGGCAGAGGAAGGGGGACCACTTGTAACTAGGAGGGGACACCAGTCCAAGCGACAAGGGAGACAATGTCAGAAAACAAACAAAAGAACCCACACCAGAGGGCTCAGAGATTCAGACCCCAGAAGTAAATCCTTCACAGAAGCCAAGGGTGCAGAAGACAGCAGCCTGCAGACAGCAGCAAAGGTTCCGACCTCAAGATCCTCCAGGAGGTGCCAATTTCAACCCCAGGCACAGTCAGCAGTGATGGACGTGAGGCAAGGGAAGGGGCTGGAAGCCCCGCCTCTCCGGGAGGGAAGGGGCAACAGCTCCTCCCAGCCAGAACCCTGCCCGTGGGAAGTGCGCCCACCAGGGCCCCACGCACACCACTGACCCCCCCAGCCAAGCCCACGCTCCACCCAGCTGCCCCCCATCTCTGAGGGTCTCCGGTCTCCGACTACACAGCCAGACCCTGTCTCAAAAACAGCCAACAGGAATCCCATGAAGGCCCACCTCGTCTGTGCTCTCCGGGACCTCAAGGCCACTCTGTCCTGTCCCAGCCCAGCCACCCACCCTGCTCCGAGACATGGAGGACACGGGACAGCAGAGGCATGGAGAGCTGGCCCATCAGTGCCAGCGCTGAGCCCAGCCCACCACACGCCTGGCAGATGCCCCACGCCGGCAGGTCGCCAGCCCACAGCCAGGAGTTCTTTTAAAGTTTCTTAAAAAAATGAGCATCTGAAATAAACAGACATTTCTCAGACGAAGTAAAAGCGGCAAATAATCATTATGAAAAAATGTTCCACATCACTGGTCATCTGAGAGATGCAGATGAAAGCAACACTGAGATTCCACCTCACCCCAGAAAGAATGGCTGCTATCAAGAAATCAACCAATAACAAATGTTGGCGGGGTTGTGGGAGATGGGATCCCTGCTCCGGTTGGTGGGACTGCAGACTGGTGCAGCCACTGTGGAAATCAACATGGAGGTACCTCAAAGAGCTGGGACCAGAGCTTCTATCTGACCCAGCCATCCCTCTGCTGCGTATCTGCCCAAAAGAATTATAAGAATCACATCACAGTGATATATGCACACCCATGTTTATAGCGGCACAGTTTGTAATAGCTAAAACTTGGAAACAGCCCAATTGCCCATCAGCTGGAGACTGGATAAAGATGTGGTTTTAGCCGGGCCTGGTAGCACACGCCTGTAATCCCAGCACTTGGAAGGCTGAGGCAGGAGGATCGCTGCGAGTTGGAGACCAGCCTGGGCTACATAGTGAGTTCCAGGTCAGTCTCAACTACATAGTGAGACCCTGTCTCAAAAAACCAAAAAAAAAAAAAAAAAAAAGAAGAAGAAGAAGATGTCATTTTTCTATAAAATGGAGTACTTCTCAGCCATAAAGCATGAGAAACTAGAGTCATTCATAGCAAAGTGGATGCACACTGAGGCCATACTCTTTAAGTGAAATAAATAAGACACACATGTAAATACCGAATAGTTTCTCTGGTGTGGAAAACTTAAAGTGTAAATAAGATCTAAATGTAGGGGGTGAAGGGAGGGTGGGGACCAGGGGAAAAAATGAGAACCAAGACCTGCCATGTAAAGGTACAAGATCCCAATAATGAATGTAACTGTACTGTATACCTAACATGTACCGATAAACTCAATGAGGAAAAAAACTGTACATTTGAGAACTAATCAGACTTTTTTAGAGCCAAAGCAGGAGAAAAGGAAAGCGATAATTCTGCAGGTACAATGGAGGCACCTCTGCCTTAGGCCGCAGCCTGGCCTGCGGGTATGAACACCCCTGCCTTCACCTGGAAGGCAGGACCTGGCCTATCTTTTAGGACTAGTGGAGAGTAGCCTGCAAGTATCTAGACTCTGTTCACTCTAAAAATAAAATTATCAGCCGGGTGTGGTAATGCACACCAGGGACTGTAGCACTCTGGGAGGCTGAGGCAGGACAGCAAGTTCAAACCCAGCCTGAGCAACTTAGCAAATTAGCGAGACCCCATCTCAAAATAAAAAATACAAAATGGCAGGGGATGTACTTTGGTTCCAAAGGCCCCAGACTGAATCCCTAGTACTAGGAGAAAAGAAAGAAAAAA